TTCAGCTTCAGGTGAGCTTTAGCAACATACTGGGTACCTCATTGTACTACCAGAGAACTTCTTCTGGTGAATATATAGTTTAATTTATGGGTTGATGATAAGACAGACCGCCAACATCTCTTTATCACTTCACAGCTTAACGATCAGATTCATCGTCACTTAATATGGTGGGTATGCTATAAGAGATGATAGAAATTTGAAAGGTTGGGGATAGTGAGAATAGCCCGTGCTATGATCTGAAATTCACGACAATTAATGTCTGCATGCAGGCATCAAAACATGGACCTACCTATCACCGTACATGTAATAAAACTTCAACAGAACCGGAGGCCCTGTTTCACGGTGAGTATCCTTGCATTGAAGTGGAAAACATGCATTTATGTTGGTAACAATATCCTTAGTTGTCATTAGCATTAAAAGTGTGCCTAAACTAGCAATAACAATTTAGTGCCAGCATTCTTACAATAAAAGGAAAATCATGCATCGAGAATGTCCACTAGATTTTCCTGCGCACTCAGGGTACAAGGTACTTTAAGGGATGCTTACAATAAAGGGTTCAACACAACGTAGTTGTTTCATCTTGACTTTCTGTAAGAAAAAAATAGTGTTTGATCCTGTTGACTGTCGATGTGATTTGTGTGGTCCTGGGATTTGACGTTATTCACTACCTTGAACGTGTATGGATTATCATCCACGATATCAGTTATAGTTGTCTCCCAATTCAACTTGAATTTGATTTATTGTACATGGCCCAGTTGTGAAAAATCAGGTTAAAAAATTAGTAGAGGATATAGAAGGTGACTGGAGAAAGGAATTGTCAACATGATATGATAGCAGAACTGCTGATCATGAATGGAAAGGTTGTAAAAGTGTTGAGGATAATTGAGTTCGACAACAGTTAGGTGTTTCTGGAGTTCAAAATGGCTGATATACCATTCATTTCTTGTTCATGTAAACCGAGATTGATGTTACAATCTGACGAGCAAGAAAGGTCGTGATAAGAATTTAGCCCAAAACACCAAATTTGGCACAAAATGACGTGAAGTTTACTTTCTATGTTGAACTTTGTGGGTAGTGGTTTGCATGTTTCTGGCAAAGCTAGTTAATTTCAGATAGCCTTGTAAACCATCAGAGCTGCGTTCCTTGCACATAAGGTGCAGTTTCATGGTTAAATTGTCGAGATCCTTTATCAGCTTAAACTAGCCTCCCCTCTCTTCTCTTGGTGGGTTGGAGAGTCAAATTTAAAACATTAGTTGACAGATATTTATAGATAAATTTTCTACCTGGTATAATGATTTTGTAAAAGGGAACAATTCTAATCTTTAAGCATTGATATGGTTTTCTTTGAAAGAATGACCAGACTTTGTTATTGAAAATGAACAAGAAGAATGTCCCTGGGAAACGATTCAAATGAGCAATTTCTAGCAGGTACAGTGGCGGGCAAGAGGCAGGTTTTTATTAAAAATATTTATTAAACAATAATATAAATTATAATTTTATTCAGGTTTTATAGTTGTTATAGACCTGTAGCTGCTGGTCTAATTGCAGGCTTTGTAGTTGTTATAGCCTGATTGCACCTGTACTTCCACTTCTTTTTCATCAAACATTACCTGTATTTGCTGCTAGCTTGTACTTTGTTCATTTCAATTCCAAGTGCTCTCCTCATTAAAAACAACATCTCGAAATGATAATCTTTTTTTTTAGTGGGTTGAGCAATTTGAAAGCTTTTGAGGTTATATTTATTTTTTAAAAAATATTTTTTTATGAAAAATAAATTTAAAAAAAAGTAAATTTCAAGAAAGTAAATTATTTTCTAATATTTAGTAATGTAATGGAAAATAAGTTGAAAAATACTTTTCTGTATTTGGTTATGTCATGGAAAATGAACTGGAAAATAACTTATTAATGTTTTATTTTTCTCAAATTTATTAAAATAATGAGAAATAAATCTTACAAATTAAAAAGTTGAATGAGAATGAAATTGAAAAAAAATATTATTTCATGAATTATCTCAAATAAAATAAATAATAATCAAAATAATAGAGATCAAATCTAAAAAATAAAAAACATAAAAGATGAAGAAATTAAAATAATAATAATTAACATTTCATAAATTACTTCAAATAAAATAAGTAACAATAAAAAGAATAAGGACCAAATTTGATAAATAAAAAATTTCAATAAAAAAAGATAGGAGAAAGCAAATAATAATTATAAAAATGAGAATCATAGTTAATATAAAAATTAAATTTTAAGAGATAAAATTGAAAAATAAATATTCAAAACAAAATATATATAGCAATCAAAAGTTTGAGGATCAAATTTAATATAATTAGCAAATAATATGACATTTCTAAATTTTTCAAAACTTTCAAAAAGTGTTTTCCGTCCAAATTTTTCAGGAAAACACTTTCTTGAAAACCAAATCAAATTTTTCTTTCACTGAAAAGTATTTTTCGTTAATCAACTTTTCTATTGGCAAACAAACACAGAAAAGTTTGGAATATGGTTTCCTGGAAAGTGAATTCCATTTGAAATTAGGACTTAATTATTATTGTACTATCATTGTTGCCAAAATTAAGGATCTGGGGTTGAAGTTGAAGTTCTTAAACACAATAAAATTCAATTTTGACCATGATTAAATCAAATTGATCTGTTAAAAATTTAATTATGTCCTTTTACTTAATTTTATGCTAATTCATCCAATAACAATTTAATTTGACCTTGAATTTGTATTTTTTTATTTTTGGACATAATGGAGTACAAGTAGGTCTTAAAATTTCCTTCAAAATTGCTGTTTAATTCCCTGTCTTGCTTTCTTTGCATTTACAGTCTTTATTTTATTTTTTTAAAAAAATTGATTTTTGAGAAATAACCTAGAATTAGATTATAACACTAAGTATCAAACATCTAGCTCATTTTTGTTATCACTTGCATAGAACACCATCAACAAAGTTTTTTCTTCTTTGTTCTTTGCAAAGTTTGATTTTTGCCATTTTTATTTGTTTTAAAGCAGTTGGGTATAGCATTCAGGATGATAATGATTAAGCTTGTGACACCTGTAGCACTTCATATTAGTTTTGCCAAATGGTTATTCATATGGTCTCCCTTTGCCTCCATCTTTGTTGTCTCAATTTCTGCCTCTATCTCTTCCTTTCATGTGTGAGGATTCAGCAAAGGTAAAAGCCTTTAAAGCATGCTCCTCTATGATAGTGCTTTGTTTCATCTTTTGTTTATATACTAACAAGGAGCTATGAAGTTCATCAAGAGAAAGAGTCTTTATATCTTTGGATTCTTCAATTGCAAACAACATGATGATACTTTGAGGATAAAAAATGTAGAATCTTTTCAATAATGATTGTATAGTCTATTTTTTCACCATGAAATCACATCTTGTTTGATATCCCCATGGTCTTTGCACAATAATTGGTGACTAATTCTCCATTCTTCACTTGTAAAGTCTTAAAATCTCTCGTGAGAGCTTGAAGTTGTGAACGCTACACCTTGAAAAGCCTTGATATTTTTTTTTCATAGAATCCCATATTTGCTTGGAGGTATCTTTGCTAAGAATTGCATGTAAGATAAAATGATCAATGACATGAACTAAATAATTCTTTGCCTTCAAATCTTTGCATCTCAACCGTTCAACTCTACTTGTTGTGCTTATATTAAAATGATCTCAACTTTTAGTTCCGCTATCCTAGAATCGATTACTTGCCGGTATTCATTTGATTATAAAAATTTCTTCATTAACATGCTCCAATGATCATAATGACCATTAAAACTAAGAATTGCTGGTTGCACAAAACTTGTTTTGGAAGCCATTGTATTACTCTTTCTGTAAAAGAAAGAACAAATAATAAAAGAAAGCTACTCATATTGTGGACTCTCACAAAATAAAGTTACTACTAGCTATTACTATTGTGAACTATTTCTGATTCTCATGCTGTTTCGGGACTTTCACACTTTTCTTTTTTATTTGAGGCTTTAATACCAATTTGTTTCACAGATTATCAACAACAACAAAAAAAATTTTTAAGGACACTCAGATTTCTCCAAAATCTAAAATGATCACGAGTTCAAATTTTATTATCCTCATTTGTTTACTAAAAAATTAAGCATAAGGTAGTGTAAATCTGTGCAAATTTCAAATTTAAAAAACTTTTACTTAAAGAGGTGTGTTAAAGAATAATATAAATTATATTTTGAAACCTTAAGTAATAGTTTAAGTTATTAAATTGAGATAATTATTTGAAAAAACATTTTTTCTAATTTATGTTATTTGATAATTTAGTCAGGTTGATGAAGGGGTGTTTAAGACATAGCTCTTGTTATTGTAAGCTACATAACTGATTGAGAGTGACGGTAACCATCAGCATTTAAGCCATTTTCTATTTCTTTTGGACCATAGAACTAGCTAAAGTTCTTTAACTCCTAATTCCATTCATTCATTTATGTTTTTTTTTTTTTTTTTATTATTATTAATATTATTATTATTATTTATTTTGAAGCCCACGTTTCTCCAGACATGGTTCCATTTCTGGTCTCGCAGGAGCCTTGCATTTGCTCGAGTTGATAGCAGTTAATAATTGAGCCCCAAAAGAAATATCTGACCTCACAACAAAATAAGGACAATCATTGAGACAACTTCCATCAATTGATTCCAACTTTTGTGCATGTTTGGCCCAGCGTTGGCAGTGTCTCTATATGCTACCTGATTGTTTGATGCTTCAAGTAAAAACGCAGAGGATTCACATTTTAGGTTAATGCTACCTAACTTGTAGTGTTGGAACCAGATATTTAGTGACTTCTTGCACAAGGACCATGGAGGACGACCTGGGACTTTATTGCCGGAGCCATTCACAGATGAGTTGTGGTTTCTCTTAAGGGTAAGAAATTTCCTGGAGCACCTTTGTCAGCAAGGGCATCTCTGTTTTGGATTGCGAAGCGAGGAACTCAAACCTACCAAACTGATTTTTTTTTTAATTGTATTTATGACATTTTTCCAAGTTGTCTTGGCATTTTATTCGAATTCCTGATGATTAACCTTAAAGGCACAGGATATGGAGGCAACATAAAATATAATTGTTAAACAATATCTGATCCATTGCCTCTTTGGTAACTGTACAGGAGATTATTGCTTGAGAATATTTTTTCTGCTGGGAGCTTAAGTTGACAATGGCACAGATAATTATCCACCGCCTTTGGTTGAATGACTCTATTTTGCTGTGTATAAGACAATACTGGATACATGGCACATCTGTCCATTTACTGCCAAATTCTGTTAATGGTAAAAAAGCAATCTATTGCGCCTTTTATTGGCTATTGGGCAGGTTGTAATTCGACATATCTTCAGCTTGCAGCCTCAGAGATACTCTGTAAGGAGGGGCGCCATGACTTCGACCTTAGTGAAGCAGAGTTGATTGATGGCGTCCTGTGTCGATGTCTTTCATGTTTGGGTTCCTGAATTATCACAGCATTATTAGAGTGGTCATTACCTTTGAATAGGGCTCAAACAAAGTGCAGTCAACCCTATTTAATTTAATTTTTTATAGTCATTCTTAATCCTATTCAACATGCATCAAGATTGTGGGCGAAACAGAGCAGCCCTTTTCTTCATTTTTGGCTCTGGCTCTCTCACTTGTACTAATTTGTACATTTTATCTAAACAACAGTTGCCATTTCAGAGTGGAAAAGAGAAGCGAAAAGTAGGTGAGAGGGAGAGGTACCTTGCAATCCTTCTCTGTGTTAGGCTTCTTTTCTGCCTGACAATTTGTGCTTCGCTTCTTCTCTGGTACTACCTGCAGCCGTGACTTATTCTCGTCAACCGATTCTGGCTGCTGCTGTCTCTTCAGTTTTGCGTACTTCTTGGCCCGTATCACCTTCATAACTTCTATAACCACATAGGGCAAAAGGAAAATCAGAATTTTATCGCCATACATATACTCGACAGATCTTGGTTAATCAAAATAAGCATCATAGATGGATAGTATTGAGAGACTAATCAATAATCACAAGCAGCAGCATTCTAGCGATATATATAAATATATCCTAACCTTGAGTAGTAACAAGGCGATAAGCATGACCAAGTGTAAGAGTATCGCTTGGCCTGAGAAGTTTAACACGGGTGAACTGCACAGTTTTGATGTGTTCTTGGTTTTCTTGATCCCCAGATACAGGCAATGGAATGATCAAAGAAACATAATGACCAGGGTTCATTCTCATCACCTCGCTAACGCTAACCGGCCAATATAACCTCTCTATCTTCCCACTTGGATGCTGTATAACCAGCGCTGCAGCATCTATGGCCTGACAATTCCCCATCTCTCTATTCTCTGTCAATCCCTCTATCTATCCCTCTAGTTGGGAGTGAATGAAAGAAAGAAAAGGATGAAGAAAGATAAGGAAGGAGGCGAGGTGAGGAGAGGTAAGCACAAGTCTCTTTCTACACAGCTCCCATCACCCTACAAATAAGAGTACTAGTGTTAGTAATAAAGCTCTTATTCATCAAGCACAAGCAACAGGCCATCTCTCATTTCCCAACTAACTCTCCTCTCCATGTGGGTCATTTTTTATTTTTTTTAAATGACATTTAAATTCTTGGTATCGCTAAAACACAATTAACATCAATATTAAACACTAGCACTTATCAATACGCTATGCAATATCATTAATTAAAATAAGTACTGGTGTTTAAAATAATCGGCACCGGCATGGATCCTGGAAGCTGGTGGGGTTGCCACGTGGAGAGATGTCAGGAGATGGAAGCGTGGCCGGGCATCCTCTCCGGTATCGACGGGGCCAAAGGTTTTGACATTAATTTAAAGAGTTACACTATAATTTTTAGACGTGCAAATATAGATAGAAAGGGGTTGCTATCTTAGTTCGGTTTGTTGCTGCCTAAGAATATAATGCCCGAGGCAAGGGTTTATCAGGTCAGGCGTGCGCGAGGGAGATTCCCTTGCTTGGACAAAGACACCCCATCATCTTATCTACGTCCTATGCTCTTTGCCTTCTATCCAATTACATAATATTTAAATCCAAGTGTTGCTGAGAAATCTCACAAAAAGGTCATCAAAACTTTGGATATTTTACCACTATTCTTTCTCTCTTCTTTTATCCGAGCTTATATAGCCTGTATATACACTGTTTCTTCTTTTGTCTGCCTTCATATTCTCAAATTACTGAATTTCTATAGATTAACCTCGCAGAGTTTTCTTTTCTTTTCTTTTTTAATTAAAAAAAAATGAAAAGGTTAAAGTCTTCTCGAGTTACTCAATAGAGGGTAATTACCTCCTGTTACATAGTCATAATTGAGAAAAAAACATTATCATTGGAACTTGAATCTTGTCTTACATGCTAAATCTATAGGCATATCACTGCTAAACTAAACTTGCTTACCTATTTTCGAAGTGCTTTAGATGTTCTCATTTTCACAAATCTGCAGGGCATTGCATATAAGCAATTTAAGAATCCGATTTATTTTTTTTTTAATTTTTTTCTCAAGCAATTATATAAATGCATTGTTGGTTTGAATGTACAGAACGCCCGAGACTGCTATTATTGTGTGATTGTGGTGTTTGTTTTTGTGGTCCGATATGCTTTAAAAAACATTTGGTTTTAAATTAATTTTATTTGTTTTTAAAGTCTTTTAGCTATTTAATGTAAAAAATAAATTTTAAAAAATATAAATACAATATTAATTTAATATATTTTCAAACTAAAAAAACATAAAAAAATAATTTTTATTATAAATAAAAAAAGATAGCATAACTTTTTTGAGGGAGGTCCACAGACCACAATCCGATGCAATTCAAATGGACTCAAATTAAAGTAACACATCTTGGTACAGAATAAATATTTTATGCTTTAATTAATACATGTTAATTAACTAAATTAACGAGAAAGACAATTTTTTAAGTGTGTGGAAGGAGCCAAGGAGATGGTTTTATGGATGGATAAGTTTGATTTTGAGATAGCTTTTGGAGTTATTATTTGAAAAAAATAAGTTAAAAAATGTGATTAGATGTGGTTTATTGTATTTAGTAAAAATTATAGTTAAGATTATATGTAACAAAAAATACATATAAAATATTTAATAGTTACGTGGTTGAGATTACTTTTCAAAATATTTTTTATTTGAAAATGCATTAAAATAATTGTTTTATTTTTTATATTGGCACATCAAAATGATTTGAAAATACAAAAAATATTAATTTAAAATAAAAAATTAATTTTTTTCAAAAATATTTTTAAAACTCAAAAACAAATAAAATTTTACAAAACTTATTATAAAAATATATAAAAAATGCTTTTAAAAAACTACATTTCAAACTTAATTTTTTAATAAATTCTATAATAAATAATACAATTTAATATATTATTAAATACCTAACTGTATTTTTTACATCATTGACACAAAAACTTCAAGTAAACAAATGCAGCCAAAATGGAGACTGATCAGTCTCTCGACAATCTAGTCAAGGGTGTTTTTGTCTTTTATCAAAATCTGAAGGTACGAGCTATGCAAGATAGAATCATTTCTTTTATTCAAAAACAAGAATAAAAAAGAATTAATCCCCTGCCTACCTCGACATGTATTTTGGGACGATCAAGAATAGCAAGGAAGGATCTCTTTCTGGAAGGTTGCAAACCCTCTTAATTATCGCATAACTCATGAGTTATTGGTCTTCCATTTAATACATTAAAAAAATAACAACAAACAAGACAAAAATAAATAAACAAAGAAAGAAACAGGACGGATATATACTAATATAGGACCAACCAGCATTTAGAAAAGAGAGGGGAGCGAGAAGGAGGCTGCCGGATTTGATTGTTTGGAAGCAAAACCCGCTGGCAGTCACCAACTACAGTGTCAGTGCTGTGTCTTCCCTCGCAAAAGCCAAACGTCGACACAGGGATCTGACGCGATCGAAGATAAAACCCACGAATCATTTGTTTATTTATGTCTAGGTCATCCGGGTGTCCATAATTTATGAATTCGTGATTGGATTACGAGCAAGGATAACCTAACTGGGTTACGTTAAAGAGAAAAAAGGACAGTAATCTTCGTGACGATCTTTGACTCTTGTGCTAAATCAACAGAGGTCCATGCTAGATTATCAGTTTCCTGATACCTATGATTTATGAAGGGTTTACTTCCATGATTCACATGTGTGCAAACATCTCTGATTACTTGTCAGTGCATGCAAGCCATGTGAGGTGTCGGGGTTTTTCGGATCTCATATTTAATGGTGAATGGACTATTTCTTGTTCAAGCATGACTGCTGTAGGGGACTACACCCTCTCATTTAAAATGGAGGGTCCTTAGCTTCTTATGACAATGGTGAGGCAACCATGTACTATTAAAATGGTAGTGGTCTACAATCTAAATTTATATGCTTTCCATATGCCAGTGGATGCAGCTTAGACTTTACATTAATGTTGAGAGACTGTAGTTCCTTGTGGGGGCAGCAAGATTAGGTCTGGTACCCCTCTGTGCCTTGCCTTTGAACATTCTAATTTCCGATCATAGCTTTCCCACCAGACGCTGGAGGATCAGTCTTGAGGGTGGTCTTGCTAGTGGGGTTATCGCTGTTTTCTTTTTTATTGTTTATAGAACACGATGATCATCTTTTTTTAAAAAAAAGAAGTTGCTTTCTCTATATTCTTCCCCTTTAATACAAAACACGAACTATCCATTCAAGAGTGAGTACTTGAAGGAATGTCTATTGCAAGAAAGAAACAAAAGGGATGAAGTGTTGAAGCTTCAAATGACAATATATGTGAGTTTTCAGTTATGATTATTCTTTAAAATATTTTTTATTTAAAAATATTTTTTTATTTTTTAAAAATTATTTTTAATATTAGCTCATCAAAATAATTTAAAAATACTAAAAATATATTAATTTCAAGTAAAAATTAAAAATATTTAATTTTTTAAAAAATATTTTTAAAACATAAAAATAAATAACACTGACAAAATGATCCCGGTCGTAGTTTATGTACAGTGCTACCAAATATTCCAGCTTGTTAATGGATGTAAACCCCATCACAGGTCAGTACGATTTGTACAGCAGCAGATCACAGAAACTAGATCCGTGTAATCCCAGGAACAGGAAGGTGGATATGGAAACAGTAAGCTAGCCAGAGGCATGTTCATGAGATTATGCATTTGTGTAATTTACTCCCTAATTAACCAGATCGTTTCCAGGTAAGGGTTCCATGAGCAATCTCGCACTCTTGCTGCTATTGGTTTCCAAAACAATGATTAACCAAATTGCTCTTTGATTTTTGCTGCGGTATGCTATGATTATACCTCTATTTAGCAACCAGGTGGACACTAAAGGGCTTGCTTTTAATAAACACTACACTAAGCTCGTAATCAGAAAGGAGAGGAGCATTGTCAACAAGCACTAGTGCTAAGATGGGGGGATTGGGATCAATTTGAATATACAAGAACATACGTGTCCCATTTAGGGAAACGAAAAAGTTATAATATTCATTAACAGTGGTGTCCTGTAGGAATATAACAGGATTTGGATCAACAGCATTAAATTAAGGTCAAAGATGTGGGCTTTCTCCACTTTTTAATTATTTATTGTCCTGCATCTATAGAAAAATTAATCTGCCTTGTGTTTTACTGTTTCAATTACTCTCAATTTACAGGTTTTTTTTCTTCATAACCATAAGTTTCTTGTTTTCAATTCATTCATTTTGCACATTCTTTTAGATTTGCCTTTCCAATTTGCTTCAATTAGCTTATTATTGGGTTCTCGCACTGTTAAAAAAAAAACACACAGTGTTGAATTTATACTCGATTTAAAAAACACTTTTAGATCTTGATTATTTTGAATGTTATAACAAGCACCAGCAATGCTTGCACATTTTTTTTCAAAGATGTGTAAAAAGATAATTAATACTATATACATAGCCTTAACAGTAGTCGGTAAGTTCTTGAATATTGCATAAATTAAGCAACCTTTGTATATATGGAAGTGTGATGATCAATGCTAGCGTTAGCATATTCTCTTTATAATGGAGGATTTCAATGGTCCTTAAACTATATTATCCAGCTGCAAGCATCTTCTTCTGCATTCCAATTTGCAGTCAGTGGAAACAACTTTTTAACTTGAAAAAGAATCAATCCGTAGTAATGGTGGGAATGGTACTAGAGGATGGTTGTTAGTATTATAATAGCTATGTTTTAAAATAAATTTTGCTCATAAATATATTAAAATAATATTTTTTATTTTTTAAAATTATTTTTTAACATCAACACATTAAAATAATTCAAAAACATTAAAAAATTAATTTAAAATAACAAAAAAATATTTTTAAAAAATACTTTTAATAAAAAAACAAATATCCCCTGATAAAAAAGAAAAGAAAAAAGAAGCTGCCATTCATGATTGCAAGACTTGGAATGTGAAAGACGTGGCATTATTATTTCACAAAGAGCTCACTAAAGTTATCAATGGAAGAATAAAAAAGTTCTCCTGTTAATAATTATCTCCTATAATTTATGGATAGTGACACGCTTCTCTTTGATCAAGATCCTACTATGATGCGATTTCATAATCATAAATTGGCAACTTTATAAAACATAATTGGGTCAAAGTAGGTTATGAGCTCGAGGAAGGGGGGAAAAAGGATTGCGGGAACTTTGTAATCAAGTATCAACAAAGGAAACAAATGAACGTAAACACAAAAAGATTGAGCAATAATCATGAACATATTTAAAAAAAATAAAAAACTAATAGTTTGAACAACCTTTTCTTTCTATTTTCAAATGAAGCCCTACATTTATATGCTTTTTATTTTTATAAATGCATAGAGTATAAGGTCTAAATTCTAATAGGAAATGTTATTGAGAGTGAGGTTCATGAGTGTTTTTTAAAATAATTTTTTTGTTAAAAAATATATTAAAATAAAAGTTTTTTAGATTTTATTTTTATTTTTAATATTAACACATCAAAATCATTAAAAAATATTAATTT